GCACTGGGTGTTATACGCAAACAATGAATCATGGAACACTACATCAAAAACTAATGATGTAATGTATGGTGATTAACATAACATAATAAAAAAGAAAAGTGTTAGACCACAACTACTAAATCTTTTCTTAATGGATTCAGTATGTTCATAAGTCATAGAATGTTTTATTTAGTCTGTAACTCAGAGCACTCACTCCATCTATCTAGCCCCATTTGCTATCATTGTCCCTGGCAGGTAGATAGCTCAAGTAGTGTTTTTCAAATTCAGTAGTTTTTTTTCAATTTTTTCATTCACTCATTCACTTCAGGCCCCTATTATGTGCCTATTATTTGTCAGTTACCCTATTTTAAGGACATAGCAATGAACAAGACTCACATAGAGTTTACATTCAAAGGAGGAGGAGTCAAAAAACAGGTGAATAATCAAAACAGATTCCCAGGACTGATGGGTATTAAGGAGGGCATGTACTGCATGGAGCACTGGGTGTTATATGAAAACAATGAATCATGGATCATTACATCAAAAACTAATGATGTATGGTGACTAACATAACATAATAAAATAAAATAAAATTTAAAAAAAAATAGAGGGAGTTAAGGACTACCCTCAAAATGGAATTGCTACTGGCTCTCCTGTAAGCCACAACAAAATTGTCTTAAATGGATATTAAGGTTTTTCCCATTTTATGTAAGTGTGAACAAAAGCTTTCTATGAAAGGTAGAATAATGACCTCCAAATATGTTCATGTCCTAATCCCTGGAAACTTATATGGTAAAAGGGATTTTGCAGTTGTGATTATGTTAAGGCCTTTGCGATGGGAGCATTGTCCTGGATTCCCCAGTGGGCCTGGTGTAATCACAAGGTCCTTATAAAGGGCAAGCAGCAGGGTTAGAGTCAGAGAAGGAGCTGAGGTAACATAAATAGAGGCTGTAGCCAAGGAGTGTGGGCAGGCTCCGGAAGCTGGAAAAAAGAAGGAACAGATTTTCCCTAGACCCTCCAGAAGGAATACAAACCTGCCCACACTTTGATTTTTAGCCCCCAAAGACCCATTTTTGGACTTCTGACCTCCAAAACTGTAAGATAATAAAACTGTGTTGGTTTAAACCACCAGATTTGTGATAATATGTTACACCAGCAATAGGAAACTCTATGTAGGGGCGCCTGGGTGGCTCAGATGGTTAAGCGCCTGCCTTCAGCTCAGGTCATGATCACAGGGTCCTGGGATCGAGTCCCGCATCGGGTTCCCTGCTCAGTGCAGAGCCTGCTTCTCCCTCTCCCTCTGCCACTCCCTCTGCTTGTGCTCTTCTGTCTATCTCTCTGTCAAATAAATAAATAAAATCTTAAAAAAAAAAAAAAACTATGTAGGAATAGAAATATGTAGCAGTTGGAAACCCTGTGTACACACATTCTTGGAAAGTTATTCTTACCCATCTGTAACGATGCTGTAAAGTAGTGCACTTGCTATAAATTCAGACTCCCTGGCCACCCTTCCAATCCAATTGCAGTCTCTCAGCCTGTGCTTCACAGAAATTCTGGAGTTGCCACCATTATTACAGATAATGATAAGCACTTTGAAATAAGTATAATAGCCGGAGGCAATGGAAAGTGACCTGAGTGCCCAGAGAATACTTCTCTGAAGAAATGACATGTGAGCTGCCACTGAAAGCTACGAAGGAAACAGCAGAATGTTTCAGGTGGAGAGAATGCCCAGGACAGAGGTCCTGAGGTGAGTTAACCTGGTCGATTAAAGAGTAGATGGAGCATTGTGAACAAAAGACAAAATGGTAGTAGTAGATGATGTTGAAGAAGTAAGCAAAGGCCATTCGTGGAGAATCTGGCAGGTGACAGAGGAGTTCAGATATTCTCAGTGTGGGGAAGAGCCATTAGAAGGTTTGAAAGAACAGAATAAGAGCTAGCTTTCATTTTGCATATTTGGCTGCTGGGTAGAGCATGGTTTCTGGAAGGAAAGAAGGGAAACCTGTTTCACAGTAGTGCAGGTAAGAGAGTTTGTGATGGCTTGAACTAGTGTGGGGGTAAGAGGAGTGGACACATTCGGGATACGTTTTAAGGCAGAGCCAATAAGATATGAGAAATTTGAAGGGAAAAGAGAAGAAGCAAGGATGATTCCTTGGACTTTGGAGCAACTGCATGCATGAGGTAGACTCTAATGTCAGGAAGACTGAGGAGCTCAAAGAAATGAGCAAATAAGTTATGCCAGTTATGACATCAGTAAGCATTTAGGTTTTGAATAATGTAGATTGTCCTGAGTATTTGAAAATCCTATGTGATGAATAGCACAGTTTTATATAATCAAATAGAACATAGGAAAATCCAATTGTTGAGTGGGAGAGAGATTTAAAGAATTATTTCAGACTATGACTTATTTTAATAAGGACACTTCCAAACCATTTCTAAAAATAAACATAACACCTTTGCATAAAAAAATCCCAGAGGAAAATATTTTATGTTCTGATTCATCATTTTACTGCATTTACAATCAGGAAAGTCTTAATAATCTCTAATCTTCACTTTATAAATTAAAAACACTTTCTTCTTTCCACTGTTGTGAAGTGAAATAAAAAATAATTCTTTAAAATCTCCTCATAAAGTTGAAATTGTTATGAAAGCTCTTAGTCTAGTTTATATGAAACAATGAACACTTGTAAACATTTGTATGCACGTATACATTCTGATTGTTTTCGGAAGTAGGTTAATACTGGGGAAATTTATTATAGGCAAAAATTAGCGTGGTAGGTATCTTGAAGAGAACCTTTAATTCTGAGTAATTTAGCAACTGAAAAAAGATGTGATTTAATTATTTGACATAAAAACTAAATAATTGGATTCCATTTTTAGAAAGATACATAGGTATCAGCTTGATTTTCCTCCCACTGAATCTTATAAAAACTTGGTAAGTCGATTATTTTAGTTTGATGCTTCAATTCCAAGATTAACCCTGCAGAATTTTGAAAGTTGTCTGTATATATTAAATGTATTGATTAAAATCTGAAAATATGGTCACTGGATTTCAGATGAATTGGCAGTATCTAAACTATGTTGAATGATAGATTAAATATCACTCTGTGCTTGAAATAGTGACATGTTTCAAAGTAATATTCAGTTCTTTTTAAAACTCATCTTAATTCTGGAAATTTATTATTGGGGTAAAAAGTATTATCTTGTTGGACTTGTAGTAAATCAGTATTGACAAACAAATTCTCTGTTTCTGTCTCTGTGTCCCTCCCTCTCTCCCCCTCTCCCCCTCCTTCCTCCCCTCCCTCTCTCTCTATCTCTCCACACTCCATCTCTCCCTTTCTCTCTCTACTTCCCTGTCTCTGTGTCTCTCTGACCCTCCCTCTCTCCCTCACCCCCTCCCTCTCCCTTTTCCAACCCTCCCCCTACCCCTTGGCAGATGGTCCGTGAACAGTACACTACAACCACAGAAGGCACCCACATACAGAGGCCAGAGAACCAGTGTGTCTACAAAATTGGCATTTATGGCTGGAGAAAGCGTTGCCTCTACTTATTTGTTCTTCTTTTACTCATCATCCTCCTTGTGAATTTTGCTCTTACAATTTGGATTCTTAAAGTGATGTGGTTTTCCCCAGTAAGTAGCTTCCTTTCCTGGTAAGCATGTTCTTGTTCTGTTTGTTGTATCACTTCATCCATATTGTATTGGTGGAAGCCTCTTTTAATGGAATTAATGTTTGTTTTCTGTCCAGATCAGAATTCTCAGTAGCAAAGTATTTATACATTTACTCTTTCTTAATTTCACTATGAACTATAGGGTGTTGGGTTTTTTGATTTTCTATTGCAATTTTTTATGTTATTCACTCCCTCTACGTGTGGGAAAATTGTATCACTCTTGAGTTCATGGTTGACTGAGTCAAAAGTGTGTAATGATTATTTAATCCATTATTATGTCAAATTCTATAAATCATGTTTTCTAATCTCATTAGTCCGTACATACTAACCATCCAGGTGCTACTTCCTCATTCTTTTAAAAATTTCGTTTTAATATACAATAAATTCATGTCCACTCGACATTTAACAAAAGATTTGAGCAGATAAAACACTAGTAGTCCTAAGGAATTCATAGTCTATTTTAAACATCCTCATGTTTTCAAGATAGCTGGGTAATTTTATATGCTTTGATAATATTTTGTATACTTTTTGAAAAAAATATTCATTTAACATGAAAATGTCTTAATTTTGCTAGATAGTCATAGTGAGAAAAATACTGCAGTGAACATCACAGGTAGGTCAGTCTGTTCCTTACATGCATCTTGAAGGTGTGATACAGGCATGTGCTATATCCAGAACAATAGTTGTAGCAATCAGTCTGACATGGCTTCCTTTGATGAGCCTCCTTCACTTTCTATGCAAGGATTTCTTTCCTGCCGTTGTTCTATAGCCACTAGGCACATTATTTATTTTGCTGACATAAATAAGTATTTACATTTTTCTGTATTCAAAGAGGTAAAATACCAATCCAATCAAAATATAGCTTAAAATGTGTTAATATATTTAATATGTATTTAATATAAACACTTATAAGTTATATTTAAATACTATAAATACATAATATGTTTAAATTAGCCAAATATAAGTTGTGATTTCTTCTTTAAAATTTACAAAAACCATATTTTTACAGCATCACCATAGTATTTAGTTCCCTTGGACATCTTTACTTAGCTAGCACGGCATATGGTATGCATGTGCTGTACATCACCTTCATTTTATCTCTAATTTTATTTTAATATTTTTTGGAGAGTGAACTGAGATTGAAGTCCTCAAATTATAAACTATGGGATCTCTCAGGGATGCCTCCTGACTAAAGGACCTGCACCCACCCGCAGTGTGCCCCTCAGTTATGCAGAATGTAGAGAGAAATTGACTAGGAAAAAGACCCTTAGAATGGCCCGGGAGAAAGAAGCCATCCCAGGGCCCTGCAGGTGCGGACGATGGCCAAATTTAAAAGTCCCTTGACATCAGGGACCATGAGTTCTATCAGTCACCTGGTCATCTTGGCACATGTTTGGCACTTGGTAAATATATCTTGAATGAATGCAGATGGGCATTATGTTAGAAGTGTATATGAATTAACTTTATAAACTATGTGAATGGGAAGTGATAGTATATTTTGTGCTCTTGTCTTGTATAGCACTGAAAACAAGTGTAGGATATTATAAATTTCAATTGCATTAAACTCAATTGTGCCAGCAGCTGAGTCCACTTCAACTTAGGATAGCTACTCACAGAGACCAGCAAATGTTTTCCTGCCATTGCTGCCCCTGTCCAGAGCCTGCGCTTTCTAGTGAGATAGAGTCAGCATGCATGGTGTCTCCTTCCACATTAGGGACCTGTTGTTAATTCAGGGTGCTTTAGTGCCCCTTTCAACAAAACTAGATGAACATACACTTATATTCATGGATCAAAAGGGAAGACCCACAAAAAGATTATTTTGCAGGGGCACCTGGGTGGCTCAGTTGGTTGGGCGGCTGCCTTCGGCTCAGGTCATGATCCTGGAGTCCCGGGATCGAGTCCCGTATCGGCTCCCCGCTCGGCGGGGAGTCTGCTTCTGCCTCTGAACCTCTCTCCTCTCGTGTTCTCTCTCTCATCCTCTCTCTCTCGGATAAATAAATAAAATCTTTAAAAAAAAAAGATTATTTTGCAGAAAGTGCCAACATTTGATCAAAAGATGATGGGTGGACTTTGGGTCATTCTTCTCAAAGTGAGATGATATAAATGATGTAATTCTCATATGTGTGTGAGCTTGATCCCTTGCTTTGGGAATGTCCCATGCTTTATAAGGCTGGACGTTGTAAAGTAATTTATGCTCTAATTTTTTCTGAGTTTGAAAGATCTCTCTCTATAGAAGAATTTAGTTTCGTTTTTATTTTATTCATATATAAACCGGTATTCTTTCTTGAATGCATACATGCCAAGGAAGCAACATGACTATAAAGGAAGATTTCAAGATCTTTGGTACTGAAATGATAAAGTCAGATAGGGCTCTCAACATTTGCAGGGAGCTAGAATTTTGAACATGTAACAGCTAGTATATAACTCTCTACCTAAATTATAATAACCTATCTATCACCTAACAGTCATTAGGGTAGACTGAAAACCTTAATTTGCCAAGTTAGCAGAGTTTAGAAGACTTTCTCTGCTTAGATCCCCAACATAGAGTAACGTCAGGTTTATTAACTTCCACATACTATCATTTCAATGCACTTGTCACCTCATCATACTTTAATATTTTACTATAGAAAACAGTAAAGCCAATCACCAGTAACATATCTTAAAATGCCAAGATCAAGTTACAGGGGAAAACAAGTAAAAAATCACAAAAGGAAAACATAAGGATGCCAAAAAAGATGGAGACTTCAAACAGAGGTTAAATGTTGACAAGAGAACTAATCTGAATGCAATGAAACCAAGCCTTAAACAGCTTTGATGTACCTGGCATGGATGGGTTCCAGAGACCCCAGATCTTGAGTAGCTCACCAGGGTAACTCCACTCTTAGAACTGCAACTTCATGTAACAGAATTTTACATAATTTCTATGTATGACATCTGTTGAATATAAAGTCATATTTAGGAAAACATAACAACTAATGCCAAACATAAAGGTTCTAGAATATTCTGTGTTGGTCATCATAATAGCTAAATCCATTAGTCAGGAAAGTGGACATTAAAAGAAATCAGTGCAGTAAAGTAGCTAATTCCCTTTTTCCCTTTTTATAGTTCCTTCTATAAAACTAATATACAATATTAGTTTTAGTTCTAGTGTTCATGGTTATAAAATGATATCCATGAGTCTTTTCAGTAAATATGTTAAAACAAGGCATCTTTAATTTTTAATGACCCAGATTCTTTTTAAAAACCTTTATGGTTGTTTATTTACTTGCGTATAATATATTTTAGTGCATTTAATGAATATAATTTTAACAAGATAAGATTAATGATTCCAAGCTAAAAAAAAAAAAACAACACATTAATGCTGAAAGTTAAATTTCTTTAGATACTTTATTTGGAGGAAAAAAGGGTATGAGTAATCAAAGCAGAATTGTTGATACCGAATATCAGAATTAAACTTATAGTTCTCCTATAGTGGTTCTCAACCCTCTCGGGAGCTCCCTGGGTGAAATCTGAAATTGGCCCTCAAACACAGAGGCAGGGAGAGACCAAGGGAAGAAGCAGGCTACTCCAGTAAACCTCATTACACATATCTCTTTACTGGTCTTACTAGCAAATATGTTGAATAGCATTACATTTCTAAAACGAAATTAATTCGAAAAGAAAAAATGACATGTAAACTACTGAAATTGAAATCATTTCTGTCTGTGTCAATCCCTGCTCATTTATTGAAGAGATCAAATTTAGCCAAAACAAATCACTTGTACTAGAATACTTTCCGCTAGAATGTTTCAAAATTCCACAGATGTGAGTTTTAATAGATTGGGCAGGGGTTTTATTTAAAAATATTTTACTGCAGGGGCGCCTGGGTGACTCAGTCGTTAAGCGTCAGCCTTCGGCTCATGTCATGATCCCAGGGTCCTAGGATCGAGCCCCACATCGGGCTCCCTACTTGGGGGGAAGCCTGCTTCTCCCTCTCCCACTCCCCCTTCTTGTGTTCCCTCTCTCACTGTCTCTCTCTGTCAAATAAATAAATAAAATCTTTAAAAAAAATCTTTTTAATATTTTACTACAGTAGAAAATGAAAGAAGAATTTCTATCATATGTTTAGCAACCGTTACAATAGTGTATTTTAAGATGACTCTGTTCTTAGATCAAAGTATGTTCAGCAACATACTTTGTCTCCGGGAATCGCTGAGAGACAGGCACAGGCAGGTGCCCCCAAGAGCTACCAAGGTCTTGGGGGATCTTGAGCTCAGTCTCTCCTTTGTTTGCTCGGCTCCCTCTGGGCTCCCTCTGGTTGTTTCCTCAGAAAAAGGCAGTGTGTTGTCAACTGCAGGGAGCCTCTAACAAAATCGGTCCTGACCCCAAAGGAGTGAAGTCTTTGCTCACAGGAGAACAGCATGTAAGAGTGAAGGCAGTGAAATTTTATCTGACCCATAGATGGCAGAAGAGATTTTCGCTTCTTCGCTGTACCTGTCTACCATGCTTGACACCTCCACTTAGCGATGTTTTGCCATTTGTCTTCTGCCTGCCTTTGCAGAGAACCATGCTGGTGGCCCGAGAGCAGGCTCGCAGCCTCGTGTGCTCCATCCTTGCCCTTGCCTAAGCCTGGCCCACATGGTCATCACATTGTCAGTGATCTGATGTTGATTACTGATGCTGCCTCCCTCTCTTTGCCATCCATTTTTCACACCAATGGAAATTAGGATTGAAAGAAAAACATGACACGGTGGCATTTTAAAGCAGCACCTTGACATTTTCTCGAATTATTTCTATCTTTCTAAAAAGAATTATATTACATCAGTGCTTGCCAGTCTAAAAACCAAATTGAAATGTTTGATTTATGTCTTAGTCATAATAGAGTGGGATTGATCCAGAGGTCACAGACGGTAAGAATATGCACTAACTTAATGGCATTTTCTTTCTAAGAAGTCAAGATATTATTAAGCCTGAGTTGAGAGG